TTAATTAAGTTATTTTATAATCGGATTTTTTTTTATAATCGGGCGGTTCGGGCAGTTTGAAAGTAAAACCACAAACCAAACCAATTATATCAGTTTTAAATTTTTATAATCCAAACCAACCCAATTTTATATCGGTTTAGTTTGGTTTTTAATTGGATTGGATCAGTTTAGGTCGGATCAATCGGATTGGATCGGATATGAACACCCCTAGCTAGAATGATAAGTATCAAATATTAAAATTTTTCATATATTTTTTGGATTTATCACTATAAAAGTATTTTTTATATAAATTAAATTTATAACTTTGAAATGATATTTAATGAGTATAAGAAAAATTAATACCTAAAAAAAATTAAAATTTTAAAAATTCAAAATATGTTCGTATGGCCAAATTCATAAAATGTCCTTGGATTTTTTTTTTTTAAGGAAATAAGGATTATATTAAAGATAACATATCAACATAATTTACATTTATTTACATAGATTCATGTATTCATTAAGTCTATACAAGTAACCCTATGTGGGCTGGGAATGAGTAACAAAAGTTTTGGCTTATGTTAAAGTTCAAGTTCCTATAGAGACATTAGTAATATTTCTCCCTAGTCAAAAAAATAATCATTTGAGATTTGTGTCAATGTATGCACATTATATAAAAAAAAAAAGGTATCTTATTGATAAAAAAACATAGGTACACTAATAAATGTTTTTCTAACATATAAATTTATTTGGTTGGACATTGGTTTGGTTAGTATTTTTTTGTTTTCTTATAGATTTAGCATTAAAAAAACAAAAGAAAAAACCCATACCAATGGCAATAACATTAAATTTGACCAAAACACTTGGTATTTGATCAAAATAAGATTCAACGTTATATCATTTTAAGTTAACAATATATTTGAATTAAAAAGAGAGAGAGGAAGAAAATTTTTTCTATTTAGTTATCAAAATAACTAAAAAAGAAAGAAGTTAAAAAAAAAAATCTTTATTTTATTTTTTTTAATTTATTTACTTATCAAAATAAGTGAAACAAAAAAAGGAAAATAAAAAAATAAATTCTTCTCTCCCTTTATTTTACTCAACATAGACATGCTGCAAATATAAAATCCATACATACCCTAAACAAAATTTAGGGTCATTTTTTCCCAGCACCTATCTTCCAACTTGTGTAGTTGTGTTCAGGTTCAGGGCCCAATTTCAATCAGATTGGAAATTGTCCGAATAGAAGTCAAAAATAGAAGAAAAATAAAATTTCTGAAAAATGAAAGGGAAATCGAAAACAGCATTCAGTCTTCCTAAATTCGAACGTTGGTTACCCCGACGTCATCTTAACGCTATTTCGACCTACAACTCCAACTACATTGCAATTTCGCTTTTCTTCTGCCCCTACCCATTTAAATATGCGATGCGATTCAAGCTTTACCCGATAGCTTTTCTGGTCTACGATGGAGACCCTTTTGCCTCCTCCTCCCTCGCCGCCGGAATCTCAAACGGTAACTGAGCACGAGTCTGCTACCGAACTCAAACAAGACTCAGATCCAACAGTCGAAAATCATCCTCCTTCTCTGACGACTGTCACCAACAGGAAGATGATGAAGAAGAAGAAAAGAGTGAGCAAAGGTAAAGATGAAGAAGTTAAAGATGCCTCTTCAATTGGGATACCCTCTTCCGCTTCTTCTTCTTCTGTACAAAAAGGTAGGAGCTTGGTATTAAGACGCCGATGCTCTAGGTGCCGGTTCAGTGTGGCTCGGCGTGGTGACGGTGGTGACTTGGCGCTTCCTCTGGGAATGTCCTTCGCAGCTGTTGTTGCACAGGTTCGATCAAGTATCCAACTTTTCCTCATATATACGTAAAGATTATGATTTTATGGCACGGGTTTTTGATAATTATTTGGCATCTGTTCGTGATTGGGAATTTTGGGGTTTTTGTGAATAGTGGGTTTCTTTATGCTGGCAAAGTTTTTCTTTTGATGACATTGCTGTTTTTTTGGCATTTCTAGAATTTCCATGGCAATGTTGGTGTTAATTTTAGTAGGGAAATATTGGGTTTTGATGATTGGTTGTTGATTGTTACAGTGCATCTCTGCTGCTGATGTTCTTTCTTAGAGTGATTTGTGTTTTGCTATCCGTTCTGTTTGACTATTTGGGTAAAGTTTTGATTTTGATGGTGCTTGAGTTGCTTTGTTGGTTTGCATTTTTGAACTACCATAAATAGGCTATTACTTAAGGTTTTGTGTTTTACTTAGCTGATTTATTTTGCGCATTGATGATGTTTGATTGCAATTAGAATATATCTCTGTTCTGATTCTTTTGAGTTGTTTTCTAGTTAAAGCTATTGGCTTGGGCTTATTGTGTGTAGTAATGATGTTTTATTAGAATTTGGATGCATTTCATTTCTGTGTAGTTAAATACTTAAAGCTATTGGCTTCTGCTTATTTGCTTACTGTTCTTGTGGCATGGCTTGGGGCAAGTTTCACTGCATTGGTTTGTGTCATTTCTGAAACTATCCCTTTCCTTGTTAGCTTCCAATTCCCTGCTATCCTTTTTTGATCTTATAAAGATAATTGGTTTTTTTCTTCAGTTTTCTGAAGATCTTAGCATTACATGCTGGTTGATTCTGTTATTGCGGTGATTTTTGATTTTAGGTTCTGGAAAGGCAAGATGCAACGTGCGAAAGGATGTCTGCTGATGATCTCTCAGCGGTATCTTTCTACTTTTCTACATGTTAGTTGGTCTTGATGTTGTTGAAGCATAAACTATTTTGTTATTGAAAAATTCTATCATATTTACGCACTTGCAGATCTGCACTTCAGCTGTCAGAGAATCTTTAGCCAATGTAAGGCAGACTTTAAACAGCTTCATCAATTAACTCTGGTTTTGCAAGTAATGTTTTCTTATTCTAATATTGTTACCTACATTTTACGACCCCAAAATGCTTATACTTGCCTTTTGTTTTAATCATCATGTGGCTACAGGTTTTCGGAGGCAAGTCTGATTTTTTTGTCAGGAACTTTGAAAAATCATTTGGAAGCACATTGAGGACTCTTAGATTGATTAATGAATCATCTTTTCCCAAGGGAAATTGTCTCTCAGCCAACCAAAATGTAGAAGTTTCTAACTCAGATGTAGATTGTACAAGCAATTCTGATACAAATAGTTTTCACTCAGACACAGACCTGCCATCCAATGCAACTCATAACAGATTTCACTCAGAAACAGACTTGCCATCCATTGTGACTAATAACAGATTAAATACCTGTGAAGAGGTAGCAGAGAATGTAACAACTAACTCAGTGGATCAGGGAATTGCCCTGCATGGAGATGCTAACCAACTAGCTTGTGTCACTTCAAGGACAGGTTCTTCAATAAACCAGTCAATGCTCAGCACATTGAAGAAATCCTTTATGGAGCAAGTTCGGTCTAACAACCTTAAAAAACTGGAGCTTGGACTTACCATGAGAAAGTTGAAACTAAAAGAGACACAGCTAGCTCTAAACCTTGATTCAAATCATCTGGAGAGATCAAAATTAGCAGTGGGTGCATCAAAGGCTTCCTTTAAAGCTGAAAAATTCAAGAATCAATTAGAAGACACAAGACATGCGGAACTGCAAAAGAAGTGCATTGACTGTCTTGTGGCTGGTTTGTTCCTCATGTCACTCTCACTTTCATATGGTGCTTATGTTTTTTCGTATGAGAGGATCACTGAAGCTACGACTTCATGTACTCCTTCACTTGAGGTAAGGATCATCTCTTCCTCACATTAGTGATTGATGCCTCCCCAGTTTCTTTAAGCAATAAGTTTATTAAATTCTGTCAGTTTTCCTTAACACTAATCTTGTGTGGTCAGGAATATGGATCCTTAACTATTTTCTCTATTGCTCTGCAATGTTATCCTTAACTATTTTCACTCTTACCCTACAATGTTATGAGGAGTTATAACATGTTGCTTTTTTACTACATCTACTGGAAGTTGACTTTACTCTCTTACTATTGGTGAAATTACTTTTGAGACAGCATATTAATGGCTCAGTTGGGGTTATGGACTTGGGATAGGTGTTTAGTTTTCCCAATTGCCTTAACAAACAAAACAAACTTACAAAAGTGGGTATAGCTTGTACTTATGGAGGTTGATCTTTTGGCTGTTGGTGATTGCAGTGAACTTCTTGTCACAGCCTTCATTTTATTGCTGAGATCCAATGATCCAAATAGGACATCTTACCTTCCATGTTAGATGATTTGTTCTTGACTATTTTTCCTTGAGATTTCACACTAAATGCTCTCACTTTGATTTGTTTCAGGAGACTAAGGCCTGGTGGATGCCAAAGCCTATGGCATCTTTGAATTCAGGGCTGCACTCTCTCAAGTGTCAGGTTCAAGTTGCTAGCCGAATGTTGTTTGGTGTCCTGATGATTCTCACAGTTGCTTACATGCTCCTTCAGCGCTCAGTAACTACAAAACAGACAATGCCAATCACATTTATACTCTTGCTATTGGGATTTGCTTGTGGTTTGGCTGGGAAGTTTTGTGTAGACACATTGGGAGGAAGTGGATACCATTGGCTCTTCTATTGGGAGATCCTCTGCTTGCTGCATTATTTCTCAAATGCCTGGACATCAGCACTGTTCTTCATCCTCCACGGACCTGTTAACATGTCTCAAGGGATGAAAAGCGGCACAATGTTTCCATACTGGATCCGTAGACTATTATTCTACTGTATTATCCTTTTCTGTCTGCCATTGTTGAGTGGTCTTATGCCTTTTGCCAGCCCATGTACATGGAAAGATCACTTCAAGCTGCTGGTCCATGACTTGCTGTCAAACACCAGTGATTGAAGCTTTAAGGAATGTGGAATGCAAATGAAAGTCCTGCAGGCAGCAGATCCTGATCTGGTTGTCAATCTACTTTGTTGACATTCCAAGTAGTCTGTGCTCTTGGGCTAGCAGCTGCTTGAGAGGCATGTATCTTGTATTTTATTGTCAAATTATTTTACTTCATAAATTAGAAAACCTATTAAGAGGGTTATCTTTTATATTATCCAGTAAAAATCAATGGCAAATAAATCTTAGCAATAATCTTTGCATACAAATTTTTTGTTTTTCTTTTCAAATGCAATTTTAGTTGTTTTACTGTGAATTGCAGATGGCACTTGTCCTGACCAAATGATTTAAGGGGTCTGCTTTGAATTGTTGTGTTATGTTTGTTTTTAGGTTGTGCCATCGCCAAAAGCTGCATTAACGTTCAAAAATTATTTTTCAGAAGTGCTACATTATTATTTCAAATATATAAAACATTATTAAATTAAAATTAATCTAATTATAAAAAAATTATCCTCTCCTGTCACCTGCCTGTGGCAGAAATGTAAGCGTTCCTTACATTTTAACCTCCTTTTGACTATGGAATAGTTTAAGGACTTGCCTAGGCGCACTCTAAAACTTTTCTCCTTCACGCCGCCTTCCTCTATGGTTTAGGTGTGGCGTAACGGTTTCTACCCATTGGGATTTCTCTTCTCTATTATTTTGTTTCTTTCTATCTTCTTTAACGAGCCTTTGTTTGAATCGAAAAAGTTAAAGGAGAAGAAAAGGACAAGCAGGGGAGAGATGTCTCATTTTTATATTTAAGTTTTTGATTTTAACAAAAAGGAAGGGAGATAAAAGGGATAAACTCTCCTGTCTCCACTCTTTTATTTTTAATTTTTTATATTATATTTGGATAAAAATTAGTAAAGGAGAGTGACGGAAAGGGAGGGGAAGTAGAGAGAGGGGAAGGGAAGGAGAGTAAAGGGTTAGTGTTAATTTTATTTGGATGAATTAAAAAAGAGAAAAGAAAGGAAGGGAGAGATTAATTTTTTATTTAATTAAAGAAATTAAAGAAAAATAATTATAAAATTAATTAAAATTTTATAAATTTATATATTGAAATTAAAGTTAAAATATAAATTTTAATTACATTTTTGAAAATATAAAGTAAAAAAATAAAATAAAAATAAATCTAATCCCTTCAAATTCTCTCAAATTGAAAGAATTAAAAATAAAAGATTTGAAAGGAGTCTAATGTCCCTCCATCTACCTCCTCTCATTCTCTCTTCATTGATGAAGTTATCCAAACAATATAGAGGGAAAGACATCTCCTTCACTCTCTTTCCCTCCTCTCTCTCAACTACCTCACTCCAAACAAAGGTTTAAAATTAAAGAAACAGAAAAGATTTGTTTTATATATTTATTTTAATTTTTTTTAAAATAAATACATAAAAATATTTTAAATTAATTATTTTTTAATTAATAAATTTTAAATATTTTATTTTATTTTATTTTTAAATTATTTAATTAAATAAAAATATTATTCTTTTCTCTCTTTCACTTTTTCTATTTAAATAAAATTAACATTAATCATTATCCTCCTTCCCTTCCCTTCCCTTCACTTTACTAAGACTGCTGTTTGGTAAAGGGAGGCAGTCTGCTAGAGTTTGCTGCGAAGCAGTGGACGGACCAGGAGCACAAGGCTTTTGGTGGTTTGTGGTGAGCGAACTAGGGGCACGAAGCTTTTGTTGGTTTCTCACGGGCAGACTAAAGGGTGCAAAGCTTCTGGTGGTCTGTGGCAGGTGGACTAGGGGGTCGAAAATTCTGAGGGCTTGCGACGTGCTTGAGTCTGCTAGAATGGGACACTGGTAGGTGGCTAGGTTGGGTCTTGCCGAGAAAGAACAAGGATTGTGGTTGGGTTGGTTGAAAGGGGAGAAATCTTCTTGCTGAATGAGTGGAGCTCGCTTGCCTGATGAGGATACAGTCTCTCCTCCAGCCTAGCGCATACCTTCCCCTACGATCATCTATTAAATCTCTAACAATTTCTTTTTAGCCTCTGTGACATAAAACTATAGGAATGATCTTTGTAATTTCTCTTAATTATTAGTAAATCTTGTTACCAATTCATCAGTTCACATGAATGTCAACCACCAATTTCAGTTTCAGTATGTTTATCTTTTACATTGAATTTGAAGAGTTACAAGAGCTATACACCAGTGCAAAATGCCATACAACTGAATTCAGATCGGAAGAAGATTTTTTTTTTTCTTCTAACAATTAGAGTATTTTCAAATCAATTTACTGTAAATCCTGAAATTAATTACTCTTTAGTTCTGTCAAAAATAAATCATTTATAATAAAAATTAAAAAATTTATAAAAAAATTACATGTTTATTAATTGGTTTTTTTCTTCAGTTTTCTGAAGATCTTAGCATTACATCTGGTTGATTCTGTTAATGTGGTGATTTTTTATTTTAGGTTAAATGCTAAATTTGGTCCCTCGACTTTAGTGAGTTACACATTTTTGGTTCCTTAATAATTTTTTGCACTTTTTTGATACCTCAACTCTAAGAAATGCACACCGTTAGTCTTTCTGTCAATTTAGACCATTAATTACGACATGTGGCACTTTTTATAATTTTTTTAATGACATGGCGAAAACAACTTAAAAAAGCGTCAATCTGGAATTCTTTTTTAAGACACATCATCGCCAATTCATAAACCGATTTTGCCTTAATAAAAAAATAAAAAATTACAAATTTACCCGTCTCCTTTTCTTGATCCATCTTCTTCCCCTCTTTTGATCATCTTCTTCCTTTCTTTTTTTTCTTTTTCTTTCTTCCTCTTCTTCCTCTATGTCTACTAGGTTCGGTGGAACCCAGTTTGCTGGGTTCCGTCGAACCCAGCTCCACTTTTTTTTTTTTTTTTTTTTGTTTCAATTAGGTTTTAATTGTGACACTAAATAATAAACCAGAAAAATATAATGGTTTTGATTTTTTGACAATGAAAAATTATTGCAAATCTCATGATATTTACATGATAATAAAAGTGTGTATTTATATTAAAAGAGAGTAAATATAAAGCACAATATATCATATTATAAGATTTTATTGTTAATAAATCATTTTCTTATATAAAAAAAAAATCCTTTTATCATAGTATAAACCTTAACATATAAAACCTAATGCACTTAATCTTATAACAACTCTAAACACTAACACACTAAATTCGTTTAACTAAACAAATCTACACTTTAGCACTAAATATTAAATTTTAAAAATTTAAACCTCAACACTCTAAATAGTATTAAAAAAAATCTCAACCATAATACTAAGTTTAATATTTTTGATGTTCCATACACTCCTTCCATTCCGATTTCGTTATAATAGTTTTACTTTTACACAAAGCTTTTTACTAAATAATTTTATATAACAAATAATTGATAATTGAAAAAAAATTTATTTTTATACAAGTAATTGTTACTAAGTATTTTCACATGAATCTAATTTCTTTTTCAATTGTCATTCGTTAGTTATACAAAATTATCAAGTTAATTTATATAAAATTAAAGTTTACGAGCACCCACAACACTAGATGATGCATTGAATAAGGCATAGGTTTACTAAGGTTAAGATCTTAGTTCTAGTTTTTGTAAAACCAATCCCCCCTCCCCAAATTTCCCCATGTTCAAAATTTAAAAAAATAAAATAAAGTTTAGAACAACTAAAAAGGACTAGAGGGAGAACTAAGTTTAATTTACTAAGTAGAAAAACTAATTAATAATTTAATAAAAAAGTATTTTACTGGATACTAATGATTTAATTAATTCAATAGTAATCTCTTATTATTAAAAATAAAATATCATAAGTTTAAATTATAGAATATACAAATATAATTGAATAAGAGATAAAAATGAATTACCTTCCATTATACAAAAAAAAAAAAGAAGAAGTATTTTACATGTTGAGTTGCAAGTTAAAAGTGAAATCCAACCCATAAATGTATTAAAATACACCTAATAAAATCTTTTCTTATATAATTTTGTTAATAATAATTTAATAATTTTATCACACAAATTACA